TAACAGAGATAAATGTAAAGCTCAGCAGTTATGCATATACATAGACAGTCTTGATAAATACTTATCTTTGGTTCAACACTCAGAAAAAAAATATTAAGAATTTTCATAAAGATTTAAAGCAATCCTTCCCATATAGTTTCCTTTGGAATATCTCTATTTTAAAACGACTTTTAATTCTTAAAGTTTAAGATCTAGATTTTAGTAAAATTTAATTTTTGGTGTGTGGTTAGTTGTCAAAATGAAAAGAAACATCCGCCAAATTTTAGGACTAGCGACCCTGTTTAAGGTGCTTTAAGAGGACCCTACCCAAGTCAAAATTGAATCTAACCAGGCAGAAACAACACAGATTTCAAGACATGGCATGTGACCCTCTTGTGATCAGCAAATCAGACAACAATGTCGCATTTCCTTCTCCCTCTTCTTCTTCTCCATTCATTTCCTTCTCTTTGTCTACCCCTGCTTCTTCTTCTGGCCCCTCTAGAACCGTTGGAGCACGTTTCCTATGTATCGGAAGTATTTATATTAAAAGCCGACCAAGAATGCCATATTCTAAATAAATGTTGTCGTCACCACGCGGTTCGAGCCACAAACAGGTTGGTTTGCACCTCTCAGATAACTCGGAAAAAGGGCAACAAGTAGGCAAGTGCCGGTTTTTGCGTTTGACCAAGAGAAGCACTCCTACTTAAGGTACAGCTTTTACTTGATGGGGTATTTTGTGCTCTGTGTTTTGCCTTTGCGTTTTTACGAATGAACGGTCGTTCATACATAAACCAATTTCATGACATGCATCCTCAGTCAAACTTCACATGGAAAAAATGTTGTGTATGTTTATATGCACGTGTAAAATAAGATAACTTCAAGGCGAACACTGCCTTTTTTCTTCACAAATTTGTTCGAAGTTATAATGAAATAAGTTAAAAAAGCAAAACGAGCTGCTATATGTTTATCAATTTTATGAAAAAAATGACCTGAAAATGTTTCACGTTTTACGTGCAAAAGGTGATTCAATACATGTCAGAGCCCACCACTTAACATCTTACTTATCAAAATTTGCCGGGGGAGGCCACCTTACCTCCCCCACTCCGCACTTATTGCCTCATTGTGCGTATATTTTTTCAAGCCCTAGCTATACTCATAGTGTGGTGTTATTATGTTAGATTTTACTGTTCCTTACTGTTCCTTTTAAGTTCCTTATGATTATTTTAAGTGAAGATTCAATATTAAACTGATTGAACAGGTAAAATAAAAAAATAATATTATGCAGGCCACGGAAGAGGATAAAATATTTTTTCAAGAGTTTCAATAAAATTAAAACAGCTAAACAAATACATTTGAATTTTTTTACTTATCACCCAAAATAAAAACATTTTTGCAAGATGTATGTGACCTCAAGTTAAAATATATATCCTCATACATGTATTTGCACCGACATGTCATATCGTTTATACATTCTTGAGGTGTAACAAGTAATATGTGATTGATAGAAAAACTTGATTTTGAGGTAATAAATGAAATTTGTAAAGATAATAAATATTATAATTTGTATTAAAAATTTTAAGATGCCGATTTTTGTGAACTTATTGAAATACGATTAGCATTACATATGTTGTTTATAAATATACATGTATGTTGCATTTTGTTATCAATAGGATATATTTATAGTGCATTTCTCTTAATAACATCCATTTATTTAATGCAACAGAGAGCTGTGTGAAGATAGACCCGTTTTGCAGAAAGTTTATCATTAAAATTTAATGATTTATAATAACTAAGATCTTTTCAAATATATTTTTTATTGTTTAGTTTCAGTTTGTGATTTTTTCCTCATGGAAGTTTAAATAGCCTTCTTGAAATTTTGTAAATTAAAATTACAAGATCTTTTCAAATATATTTATTTATTCTTTAATTTCAGTTTGTGTTTTTTTTCCTCATGGAAGTTTAAATAGCCCTTAAATTAAAATTAAATTAGACCAGTTATATGATATATATACAAATGCTCGAAATATTAACTTGTCATGTAAGTACGAGCCGTTGTACCTCAATCTGACAATGCTTATTCGATAAAAATATCATCTTCCATCATAATAATTGTTAAGAATGAGGGACATCATTTTTTTTGCATACTTTACAGGTTCTTTGTACTGGTTTATCAATGCACATATTTGTGCCTAATCAAAAAATGATATGGTATGGCAGATACAATATTAACGAAGACAATAACATAGAATAATTGAAAGGAGTTTTAAAAATCTGAGTTTCATGATAGCATTGCTGTAAGTGTTATTCATAACTTTTAATGTGGAACACAATGTGAACATTATAAACACAGACACTTGGGGTTTGGAGCTCAAAACGCCTTTAAAATCCAAATAAAATGCATATGTGTCAATCCCAGCACATGTACTGATCATATATATATATATAAAAAAAAAACTTCATATATGCCGTTTTGAAAAAAATTCATATTTCAACATCTATAATAATACACAAGATAAAAATGTTCGACGGAAAAAATCCGCACCCCTACCGTCATAATCACCATGTATTTTATTCCATTTCCAATATTTTCACATAATCCTTTTGTCTATCGACACAGAAGATATAATTCTTCACGATGATGGTCAATTTTTAACTTCAACGGTAATATAAACAACGCAACAGCCGAAATAAACATCAAGATTATCGCCGTTTTCCTCCATTGACAAAATCTTTCGATAAATTCAAACGTGCCAGTCGGCTATGACCGAAGCCATCCGATTATGTGGTTCCCAAACTTAAAAGCGCTGCGCATTTTGCACACGGCAAAGCTGGGGCCACATAATCGGATAGCTTCGTTCATAGCCGACTGGTCCATTGAATTTATCGAAAGATTTTGTCAATGAAGGAAAACGGCGATAATCTTGATGTTTATTTCGGCTGTTGCGTTGTTTATATTACCGTTGAAGTTAAAAATTGACCATCATCGTGAAGAATTATATCTTCTGTGTCGATGGACCAAAGGATTATGTGAAAATATTGGAAATGGAATAAAATACATGGTGATTATGACGGTAGGGGTGCGGATTTTTTCCGTCGAACATTTTTATCTTGTGTATTATTATAGATGTTGAAATATGAATTTTTTTCAAAACGGCTTATATAAAGTTTTTTTGATATATATGATCAGTACATGTGCTGGGATTAACAAATATGCATTTTATTTGGATTTTAAAGGCGTTTTGAGCTCCAAACCCCAAGTGTCTGTGATTATAAACAGATTGATACAGATTTTCTTATTTCATTTGGGTTTATGGTAAACCTATTGATGACGCGAGCTTCCATTTAAATGCAGATGCTGATAAGACGCATCAGGCATGCAAAGAACAACAGAGGATGTTTTGTAAATGTTAAAGGAATTCGACTGAGGTTTATAAGCCTAAAACATAATATTTTAATTTTTCACATAGATAAACATGAGCACTTTAGACAGAAATATGAATAAAATATAACTAAGAAATACACAAGAAATATATTGAAAATCATGTTTGTGCTATTCTCAGTCGATTTGAGTCAAAAGCGTTTAAACGTTTTTCAATTTTGAGTCATATTTCACTATTATAATAATTATTCTGGAAAAACGGAGCGAGCTAATGATCTGAAATTTTGCACATAAGTTATTAGTATAGATCTACATCAAATGGAGTTATGATCTCAAAAAATTATTTCCAGTCCCGTCATGTCAAAAAACCTCAGTGGAGTCCTTTTAAGCTACATAATCAGCAAGTCATTGTAGTTTACGCCTTTGAATATACACATTTTCGTGTTTACCGTTAACCTAAAAGTATATAACTGCACATAATCACATCAATATATTTAACACAATTACAACAACAAAATATAGTTTTAGAAAATTAAAAGTTTAACAAATGAGAAATTAACATTAGCAAACATAAAAAGAAACTGATGTTCGCGTCCGATCAACTAAATTGTCATAACACAAATACATTGTTATGTTTTGATGAAAATTTTGAAAGGATCTCAAAGTGGTTTGTCTAGTTATATGTGTAAATCTGTACTGTTACACTGTATACAAAACACCGATCGAAACTTTTGGAAAAAGAACAATCTTTTATATCTTTTGCTTTCTGCAATTTCCTGCAGTATATTAAATCATCATAAATTAATAGAATAATAAGGAAGTTTTATCAATGCTTAATTTGTGACGTTTTTAATTGTAATTACAGCATTATTATGACTTTTAAAGATAAACACAACTGAAAATCATTTACATTTGTATTTTTAAAATAATAGACTTTCAAAAAGAAAGTTTTAAAATTCATATTTTTATGATATCATAGCTGTTAGTATTATTTATAGCTTTAATTGTGTAATACCTTGCAAGGATTATATACGGAACAATAACATATTCAGGTATTTTTAATTTCACCTGTATTACTGTTAAACTTAATGATGACTCAGATGTTTCTAATTTAATGCAAATGCTGATAGCCTTGTCATCTGGCAGGCATTTCGTATTCCTGAAAGTCTGCATGTTTTTACATCTATCTACTTAACACTCTTTTCAAATAATCAAAAATAAATGTTTGTTTTTGTTTGTTTGTTTCATTTTTTACACTCTTTCCCAACAGTATTATAGTCATATAGGCGGGTAGTTTCATAACCATCGTTCCTGGAGAGTTACACCAGTACTACTCTACCTTCCTCCGCGCTAAACTAAAAAGCATCTCCCGGGATCGAACCCACGCCAGAGAGGTGACTGGATTACAAGTTATCGACTCTAACCCCTCGACCACGGAGCCGGTTCAAAATGAATATTAATAAAAAAATGATAAAAAATAAAATAAACAAAATATAAAATAAAAATAACAAATGTAATTTAAGTGAAACATCGGCGAAATTCAAGGGACATAATGGGTAAGCAAACTAGCCAATTTTTACTTAAAGAGTAATGTTTCCTAGGTATACAAATGGAAAGAGGAAGTTCAAATGAATGATAGGAATTTTTACTTCGACGCTAGTATAAAATCATACTATAAGAAAAGTTCAAAAGTAAGATATGTTCATGAATATAAATGCTTACACGTGAGACTTAATTTATGCATTAATTATTTCATATTTTGCTTTAAATAATGATAATGGTTTTCATGACTGAACATGATGAAAGGTACGTTTATGTGACTTTTAGATATGATTGATTTTTTAATCTAAAGAGGAATTGAAAAGAGTTAACGTTACATTCTGACCGTCTAGCTTAACAATAACATAACGTTACTCACTAGTGCATTAGTTTAATCTTTTAAATTTTCATGCTAAGATGAAATGTCATCAAATGTTAAATCTCTCTTTATATCTACAATATTAAATGGTTTTTCATTTATTTTTCTCTCGTGTGTACCTCCCGTGTGTACAAAGGGGACTTCACAGTAATCGATATTGCTGAAAATCTTCTAAGCGAGACAAGACTTTTTGCTGACGATAGCTCTTTATCCGTTTCCTCTAACGATCTAAATTACATTGAAAGTACTCTTAACTCCGACCTTGAAAAAATAAATAAATGTCTAAACAATGGTTGATTAATTTTAACCCAAATAAAACAGAAGTTATGTTCTTCTCTCAAAATCATGGAATCAAACCCTCGTTAGTTTTTGATAATATCTCTCTAGATTTCGTGGATAATCACAAACATTTAGGATTAACTCTTTCTTGCGACTTGAAATGGCACGAACATATTAATAATATTTCAGCTTCTGCGTCAAAAGTATTAGGCTCTATGCGTGCTTTAAAATTCCAACTCAAAAGATCTACTTTAAACCAGATTTATATATCTTATATGCGTCCGATATTTGAGTATGCATCAATTGTTTGGGATGGGTGTGCTGCATATGAAAAACAATCACTTGAGCAATTACAATACGAAGCCTTTTTGTCAATGTGATATTGGGATTGAAAATGCCGAGCATTTCTTTTTCAAATGTAATCGTTACGTCGAACAACGAATAATACTCTTTCGAGAAACCCGATCTTATCATCCATTAAACATTGATACATTATTGTTCGGTCGTGAAAATTTAGAATACGAAGATAACGTTGTCATTTTCGAATCAGTTCAAAAATTTATCAAGACGACCCATCGTTTTGATAATATTTGACTTTTCATTTTGTGTTTTTTCTAAAATTTGTCATTTATATTTGCTTATTTGTTCTAATCTAACTTACTTAAATAACAAATATTCATTACCAATCTTTCCCCAAAAACCAAACTTCAACTATTTTAACAACTACAGTGAGATCGGGATGGCAACCTGTGGATGGATCGCACTTCAAAATCAAAATTGTACATTAAATTTTAATGAATAAATGAACTGTTAAAAAATGAAATACATATTTTAAAGTTTATATGCATGTTAAAAATAATCATTGTTGCCTTAAAGTATTTTCTTCTGTAATATTAATTTCTGGGAAGGGCTTAATCTAATGTTGTAAGAACTTGTTGCCCAACCCATTTGCATTTTGATATATACTCATAATTTGTATGTCATGTTTGTAAACATGTATTTAATGCAATAAAATATGTTTAAACTAAACAGAAATCTTAGTTCAGCAGGGTTTCTCTAGGACGAGTCGATTACCGAAAACGCATAATATTTTTCAAGGCCTAACTTTGTTATATTCTATATTTTATGGAGCGAGAGATTATTTCCAAATATGGTATTGATATTTGCATTTGACTCCGCCTTATCTACCTGTTGATGACGTAAATTGCACCATTAAAGATTTTTACCTGAAAACGGTTAAAAAATAATGTTAAATTAAACTCAATTAGTTAGTTGATTTACAACATTGAATAGGTCGAATAGGAAAAAAGAACACACATAAAAAACAAACAAAAAAAAAACAACAAAAAAAACAACAACACCGAAATGTTACATTTTTTTCTGATAAGACTTGACCTTTAATTGACCTTGACCGTTAAGATCAAATTAATGAAATTTGCTTAAATTGTCTTAACTTACAAATTTGATTCATACTTGTACAAAAGAACACATATGACAAAACCAACATGTTAAACAATTCTGACCTTGTCCTTTATTTGACCGTTACTGTCAAAGTCAAATTATTGAAATTTGCTTAAATTGTCATTTATTTACAATTTGATCCATACTTATACAAAAGAACGCATTACAAAGCCGACATATTTAATTTTGCTTACATTGTCACTACTTTGTTATTTTTATAGATTTGATTCATTCTTGGACAAGAGAACACTTATTGCAAAACAGATATGATAATGAAACCATATGTGACCTTGACATTTGAATGACATTCACCGTCAAGGTCAAATATGAAATTGAAATTGATATTGTTACAAATAATACTGTTTTGTTGGAGTGTTCTTTACTTCAATATTCTTCCTGCATTATCCTTCCTCTTAAGTGCCGAGCGTAATCCTCGCTAGGTTTTGGCTATAGTAACAAGGCGTTAACCGTACTATTGCACAATAAGAATGCCTTTTATAAGCACGCTTCATAGACAGGAAACAACATAATTTTGAAATTTATAAAGATACCCGAGAAAGAAGTATTTTATTTCAATACGAAAATCATTACTTTCATTCATTTATGAAAACAGTGTATAAAATTCTGAACATGCGATTTTATTCTTGACCAGTGTGACACAAGTATTTCTTGTTAAATATCTTAAAAATCCAAAATACAATCCTAGTGTTGTTTTTTTTATAGAAGAACATAGATTTATGTATTTTCCAATTTAATATTTCAATAAAACAAAATATCATTCTTGTTTCATATATTAAAACAACATCAAAAATTTGGTTATATCTGTAATTTACACAACAATATCTAATGGAGTGTTATTTCTCTAATTTAGATATATTTCTTATTATCCTTGTAGAATGTTTCAATCGCCTGAATATAGTAATATATTGTCACTGAAGTTATCTGAGGTATTAGAGGATGTTGGTGTCAATGAAGAAATGGTGATGAAAAGAAGAAGAGTTCACATGCTGGCAGAGAATATTCATACTGTGTCATTGAAGTCAATATGTGAAAACAGAACTGTATATAATTTTGGGAGTCAATCTGAAGGCACAACTACTATAGGACTCAATTCAGATACTGACATATTGCTTTTGGATTATGATTATAATGTAATACAGGACTGGGCAGAGTGGAAACAGAATAAGATCAATCTTCTTATGATACAGGATGAGGATGTTACACCAGGATATTGTTTCCTACAACTACTAAGATCTGATGAGCCTCTATTTGAGACAATCATTCCTGATCAAGATTATATCAGAGATAATAAAGGGAAAATATTATTGAAAAATACATCATTGACTGCTGCTGGTGATGATGCTGTGAGACACGGTCCGTCTAATTCTATCCTCGGGAAAGAAGGATATAATGACATTGATATAGTTTTTGGTTATCCTTGTAATTCATTGCCACAATCAGCTTTACATTCACTAGACAGACAAAGCATATGGAGATGGCCAATATCTGAAATGATCAGATATGCTGTAAGTAATGGTTGTTTTGTTGTTGGTACTAGCAGTAAGATTAGTACTTCCCCAGAACTAGAATGGAGAATATCGACATCATTAGGAGAAAGATGTTTTATGTTTAATACAAACATAACACAATTACATTGTTATGTTTTGATGAAAATTATTTTGAAAACTTTTCTAACACCTCAAAGAGAAAGTTCATTGTCTAGTTTTATGTGTAAAACTGTAGTATTACACTGTATACAAAACACCGACGGAAACATTTGGAAAAAGAATAATCTTTTCACATGTTTAACATATTGCCTGCTTGAACTGCAAAGCTATATTCGAAATGAAAATTGCCCGCATTTTATAATTCGCGTAAACAACCTTATGGCCGGACAATTTACCGCAGAAGGGAAGCTTGATATTTTACAGAAGATAAGTAACATAATACAGAGTGATGGTAGACATTTGCTTCGAATATGTATTGATGATTTTGGTAATCGACTCCAGGCCAAACAACATACAGATCGTGCGATACCTTATGGTATGCTTACTCCTCGTCTCATTAATGAAAACATTTCGGTTTGGTTATTTCATAACTTAGCACGAACTATTGTCACGAGCAATTGTCCATTAATAATTTTAAATTTGTTGGAAAAACAAAATGTCAATCTCAAACAATGTATCCTAAAGCTAGTAAACTATAGTGTACATGGATCTAGACTAGAGCAGCTTGCAAGCCGTTGTTTGGTACCGTTTCTTTATTCAACCCTTGGATCTATAATGGTGTCATCAAATATTCGACGGAATACTGCAATTCAATATCAAGCTCTTAAGTTGTTATCATTAGGTTTAAACTCGGATGTGACATCTGGCAGACTTAAACTAGCGTCAGTGTTGTATTCTGTAGGTGATATGGATAGAGCGGAGTTCATTCTGAAACAAACAGAAAATCGATACAACTGTGATATTGTTGAACCTTTATGTGTTTGCTGGAGATGTCCAAGGTCTAATTGGTCTGCAGAATTTAAGAGAAAATGTCGCGAACAAAATGAAGATTGCATCAATCGTATCACATCATTTTGTGTCAGATTCATGCAAACGGAGGTAAACTGTATACCTCGAGAGTTACAATATGAACTGAAGAGATCTACACAAGATGACATGCAACACAGAAGTTATATAGACAAAATGTGGATGGACTTTGCAGTCGTTGATTCTCTCCCTTTTCTCTACTTTTTACAGTACAAGGTAGACGGAAATCTACAAAGACACCAGGATCAACATGAAGCACTTTGTAACCTTGTAATTACTACCATGTCTGGTCAAAACCTTTGGCACAGGGAAACGGCTCTAAACTTAATTGGTCAATGTATGGAACAGGAGAACAAACCAAAAGAGGCGATGCGGTGTTATATGCTTTCTCTTCAACAAAGAGAAAGAAACAACGCCGCAAAATTCCATATTTGTAATTTATTGAGAAAGCACCTTTCTGACATTTAAAGGGTCTGATGTTTGTTATGTCGAGTGAAAAAATGATAAATATATTTCAAACAAAAATATCATCAATATTTAGAATAATATGTATATTTTCAATTGTATTGCTGTTCATTCAAAAGGCATTAATCATTATTTTGTAATTTAATTTTTCATAGGGCATGTGCTCAATAATTGTAGTTTCACTTACTGAACAGTTACATGAGATAACAACTCTATGATTGCAATAATCATTTTCTGTGATATTTTGTTAAATAAAAAATTTGACATTAATACATGTAGTTATCTTTTAATGCAAATTTGTTTACTTTTAAGTGCCGATCGGAATCCGCTAAGGCATTGTTAATATCTTACGTCGGTATATTGTTTTATATTTTACGTCGAAAAATATCATTACTCCAAATTATACATGAACTGTAAATGTTGACGTATATTGTAAACATGTTACAGTGTACAAACGCATAACGGGCCCGATGACATGTGAAAAGTGAAAGTTCAATGACAAGCAATATCAGGACGAAAAGGGAGCAATTAAAATGACACACCTGTGCATCAATTGCTTATGTCATTTAAGTCGAATCTTAGTCGTGTGGAAGATATTTTGAATTGTTATTAGAAAATAACATTAATTACATACTTGATCAAATGAATATTTAATACAGAACTTAACCTGATTTTGAATGTGATATTTAAAGCTTAATTAATGAATAATTTAATGACATGAACCGCCTTTGAGTCAACTTATTTAAAGTTTGTATATTATATATAGTCTGTTGTAAAAAGGCCACAACACATTCTTTGCACCTAATATTTATTTCTAATGTGCCCACCCGGGCACATTTGCACATTTATGTTCCGATTATTTTAGCAATTATAAATACCTTTGTTAGAGGACAGATAACTGTTGGAAGAAGAACTGTTGTTTTTTTAATAGTCGTAAGGCCTTTTTTAGCAAACATAAATTTCTCAGTTTAGTATGTACAGGAGCATAAAATTGGATAATATATATAAGATCAATAATTTTTTACTTATTAGGTAACAATAATTTCTATTATGAAAGTAAAGCGTTGATTATCACAGTTTCTAGGAGAACAATGACTCATTGTGCTAAAAACTTTTGACTAGTAACTTAAAACTTCTTTGATGCATACTGGGTCAGTTTTCTGTTATTGCTGATATTTGAACTCTAAGTTTGACTTTGACCTTTGAGCTAGGGGTTTTATCTTACGCAATACACGCCGGCCTATTATGCTACTTAATTTTGCCAAAATATTTCATTATTTCTTGAAGCATGACAGAGTTTTGAACGGGACAATATTTTCTCATTGCTGTTATTTTACCATTTAGTGTCACCTTGACCATATAATCCTTCATCTCGGTTGTTTTACATACAACATAAAATTAATTAATTAGACGTGAAACCGTATTGAAAGATTCCATTTCCACCATAGTTTACAATGAACAAAGGGATGGCACAAATTAAGATGGAACGGCAAACGGACGTAAATTATGTTATATATAGATATATTGCAAGTCAGTAGAGTCAAATTGATTTTCTTTACCTCGAAGGGAAATATGTACTTTAAAAATGACGATCCGATTCTCGTAAAAGTATCTGTAAACATTGTAAGAAATTGTCGATATTGCTCTCGCCCGGTTATTTCTTCTTGAAAGAAAATATATAGTAACCAAACAAAAAAATAAATAAGAAAAAAAAAACATATTGAAATTGTCTGTATTCGCTCTTAACTGTTGTTATGCCTGTAAGTATGATATAAACCAAAATGATCTAAAATTGCTGAAAGGATAGAACATAGATGGGGTGTCGAGTTGGGTAGAGAGGTCGTTATAAATGAATGAATCAATTTACAACATAAAATTCTCTGTACAATCATTGTCTAACAACATAAGCTAAATAATCAATTAACTAATCAGATGATCATTACGATTAGTTTTTTTTGTATCCAATATTCTAACATCTACTTGAAAAAATATGGTACAACCCGACTTTATGTTTCAATTCAATATCAATAAACCAGGTTTAATCATTTGTTTTTAACCGCTGCTAAATGTCGTAAAATCTTCTACCGCTAAATGTTGCATTTGTAAGGTTGAATGTAGCACCGTTAAATGTCTCAACATTACCGTTAAATGCCGCAATATCTAAATTAATGTACAAAAACTAGTACTATGTCAATATCAAAGTTATATCGGTGAACTGGGGATCAGCTATCTCTCAGATTGGAAATGCTGTGATGTCTATGGGTTGAAATTAAGGTAATATTTGACGGTATTATAAATTGACGATCATTATAAGTAAGGAACCCTTGGTGATAAAACTCATATTTGCAATAGTATTATAACAAAGAACTGAACAAACTAGCGATGGAAATCATTCCACAATTTGTTTATACTCTGTATAATAACTGATTTGTCACAATGTAATGATTTAAAGCGCTTAAATTGTAATTGTTATCTACGTAGTTTTAAATCAGAACCTATATTCATATAATTTACCATAGTTTACAAAAATTATCGATAAATTACTATTTCTCTTCCTTCTTTAGTATAATGTAAACAAGAAGGTATAATTATAGCAAATAATCTAAATTGACCTATCTAGGTTTTTATACTGTTTTGATGTATCCTCATATAACCATATATTTTCAAACTTGAGACCTGAACAGGAGATAATTTTAACAAGAATTTAATGATTATTATCTATTGATAAATATTGACTTTATAAACGTCATCATAAAACAGAAATTTTCCTAAAGTTAAAATTGCTTATTCATGATTTTTAATTAGATACTTTGACATTGTGTATTCAAACGTGGGATTATCTGATATGTGACGTTGGAATTGTGCCATGGAGTTGAAGTGCATTATGTATTATAATCATAAATTCAATTGATTGAATATACAAAAAATCAAATCCATGAAATTGATGTGGAAATGTAAACTTTAGTAAATTAATTGATTAGTGTGAAGTCGTTTAAATTGATGAATCAACAAAGGTTAAATATTCTTACCGTTCTTTCTGTAAAGTACGTCTATTTTATGAAATGGTTTTAAATAGGATCAACTACACAAGGTATGGTTTGTAAAAGAAAACAATACGTATAATTAATAAACTATTCAAGTTAAAAAATACTAACAATGTTTTAATATAGTTCGTCAAAAACATTTAGACTAGCTAACATTTTCCAAGAGACCTCACCCAAAATATTATCTCTCAGTCCCAATGGATAACAATGGATAATATAAATGGGTCGTTAAAGTCCATGAAAATGTGATATAGTAGTCTGAAATATAAGCGCGCGCGTCCAAGATCACAATTGGAGGAACATTATGTTATGCGCTGGTTTCCAAGTTTATGTTTGCGCGACTTACACATTTTTAATTTTACATTCGCACGGAAACATATCACACTATCTAAACCTTAATCACTTGAAATCCAGTAAAGTGCCATAATTATAGAATCTATTGTAGGTTAAAGTGCTCACTTTTTATAACGTTGTGACCTTTGTAAGGATATAATTATATTAATAAGTACAATATTATTGTAACAATATTAGAGTTTTTAAATTTGATCCTGATTTTTAATCTGATCCTTAAATCTTTGTGAACACTGGTGCAGATGTTAAGAACATTTAAATTAATTAGGAGCCATTTTCCAGTATGACTGTCCGTTTGTTCTTCTAGGAGCTCGTGTAAAATTGTAATTGTATTTAGGAAAATGTCTTTATAAATGCTATAAAAACTGATTTATTATTTTATTGCACTATCATTCTACTGGCGTATATATGTTTTTCAATAGTGTTTTTACGTATTTTGTTTTCGAAACATATGCAATAATTTCATTTAGAAGGAGAATCATATAAAAGAACAATTTTAATGAAGTTATAAATGATACTACAACAAAAAAAATCAATCAAAAATAACAAATTAATAAAATATATGTATTTATTATTATTATTATTATTATTATTATTATTAAACTTCGGCTAATTCAAGGGACTTAATATCAGGCAAAGTTTGAATTATTATGTAAAGAGTTACGTTCTCTAGGTATACAAAGCGAAAGAGGAAGTAGAAAAAAATAGGATTTTTTACTGTTTTGTTTTGACAACGACGCATATTGGCTATAATTTTATTAAGAAGGCAAAAAGTCGACCGAACAGTTCAAAGGTAAGTTATTAATGATAAAATATTTTTCGTGCTCTAATTTAGGCTGTAATATTTTGTCTTCTACCATTTCCATGATATTGACAAACGGGTTATGCAATGATTTTAAGACTTATTGATCAGTTTCATAACAAAATTGATAAGCTAAATTCAGGCTTTAATTGTGACGTTAAAACGGTGATTACATTCTTAAAATGACTTATAATCGTAACGATAGACACAACGGGGCGAACACGCACTGAAATTAGTTAACTAGAATTGGAAAAAGTTATCATGTTACTTTCTGTTGTTAGTTATTTTCATAATCATTCCGACACATACGTCATGTTCAAACAGAAAATAGAAAAACTGAAACACATTAGCACTGATGACTCAGCTGTTCAACGCGATAATTTTAGATTTCAGGTTTATGTTAATCGATTCAATAATTTCAACATTATGTTAAGCATTTTAGTGCATAAATACAACTTGATAAATTATCACATTCACATCGTTGCATATCTAACTATATGATTTCTAAGCATTTATATTTCACAATTTCAATCTCACATTTAATTTATCAAGATTTCAATTCGAGTTCTAGATTTCATAAAATGTTTCTAAATATAAAAATAAGGTCATCAGGATAACTGATCTAATAATAGCGTCTTAAAATAAATAACCTTTTATGAAAATAAAATATTCACAATAATTGATGCATAATGTACGTCACACATATATGTTTTCAATACCCCCCCCCCCCTACAAAATTGTGTTCAACTCAATGAAGTACTTCAGGAAATGTACGTATTCAAATATGTATGGTAAATTTTATCAAAGATATTACAACTCAGTTACGAGCAAATATTGTAAGATATTTTGATAATTTTGAGATTGAGTTGAAAAATATCAATTACAAGAATATTTGTAAAGCTTCATAATATCTCTGATATTTAAGAAAAAAAGCACCTATTGCTAGAAACTGCTAGAATATAAGAATTGACAGGATATCTCTTGTAGTATGATAACAGCCTTGTGACATACTATGTGTATGATTTATTTATCTCTAGCGCACGAAATAATTAAGTCGTGATCACGAGATATTGTGGTTTGCGCACAAATTACTTAATCGTGTGCACGAGATAATTAAGTCGTGCACACAACTTAAGCAACCAATCAGATTAAACTATATTTATGATTTTTAAAAAAAAAATCTTAATATATTTCTTGTTAAATTCTTACGTGCAACAATAATCTTTGAAACTACTGAAGTTATTCACTTGAAACTTAATACATGTCTTAAGAATCAAATCATAAAAGGAGGTCACTATCAAGGACCCATAAATCAGACATTTATTTTGCCTAATATGTTATGTTCCACTCCACTAAAAAGCGGGCACCATCCGGTTATAGAATTGATCATTAAGTACTAACTAACGGCCTGTTACCCATTGAGAAAAAATAAACCCTGATTTATTTCATTCGGTAGGGACATTGCTCATGGCCAGTAGATGACCTCTATTGATGTTTGTGGTAATAAGGTTAAAGGTCAATATAACCATGCCACTCCATGTATAATCCTTGTCTGATGAAAATTACTTGAGAAAGAATAAGCCATGGTTTATATCATTATAGAATTATCGAAAGAAAAACTGAAAAAATTCCAGATGTTTCCATTCAAACGGATATGCTAAAAACTTTCTTATCAGACACGCATGCATGACAAAACAAGCCAGCATACACCTTTTAATATCCAGTCTTTAGTATGTACAGATTACCTGAAAAACTGCACATGTACACTTCAGTAACATATCATTATTACATCATAAAAACTCAAACAAATATATACTTCTAAGATATAAATATCAATCAAAAATAAGAGTTAAATAAAAACAAGTATTATTTAATTTTACCCATGAAATATTGTGCTATATCAGTCAAATATATTTCATATTTTTTAAAAATAAATATGAAATATTAATATAAAAAAGGGCGGAGTAAAAACTCATATTTATTTTAGGGGACTTCTTTCGCTAGTTTGCTTGAAAAATCTGATAAATACATAACATTTTTTTGTTGAATTTAAAAAAATATCATTATCAAAATTATAGTTAAAACTATAATTTTGAGTGGATTTTTAAAAAAAATAATTTAATCGGTGGTTTTGTATTTGGTACCTTATAGTAAGGCGTAGAGTGTTGAATTATTTTTTTTTTCAGGGTTGAAGTAGGGGTCCAGGGACAGATAGGTGTGGGGTGTCCAAACATCGATACTTTTATCTGTGTGTTTGTAATACCGATCATTTAACGGTTGAGTTGTTTACATTTTTATAACAGTAAGTCAAAGATTTCACAAACTGACCGTTACGAATATACCAGCTTATTATTTTCTTTCGTTTTAAAATGGCCTTAGAATCCTTAATACGAATTCGGCTTCAACTAGATTATAAACTATTTTTCTCTCGTAATTCTATATACGTGTAGTTTTATTTGTAATATATGTTTTCTTCATACAGTGAATATCTCATTTAATAAAATGTTACGGGAAATATAGTAACAATAACCTTAAAACATATTTCAAATAAAAACGATGTTAATTCAGTAAAAATATTGCCTTATATATAATATCATGAAAATATAACACATGGAAAAGAATCAAACATATATTCGTGTTTCATAAACTTGTAAAATCCCTGTTTTTTTTGTTTTTTTTTTGTTGTTGTTTTGTTGTTGTTTTTTTTTCAGTGTAAAAAGTATTGACTTCTCTTTACTTACCTGTCATATAATTATGTAATTGATAACAATTATCTTATTTCATTTTTACTGTTTTTCGTGTTTTTTTTTATTTTATTTTATTATATTGCTTTCTTTTGTTGTTGTTTCTTTCTGTACCACTTAAATACTGAACCGTTCGTTTTGTAAATGATCTTATCTTGTCTCGTGTTTTGTTTGTTTGTTCTTTTGCTTTCTTTTTTTTCTGTACCACTTTAATATTGAACCATTATTTTTGCAAATGATCAAATGATCTTATCTACAGGAAAAGCCATGTAAAATAGGCGCCAAAACTTATAAATTACTGTACCAGGCAATAATTTTCTTCTTCAAATTTCTTCGATTCTGAATAAAATAATTTTGAACTGAATACTAAATTAAGGATGATAAAGTTTTATTGGTCTTTACCATTTTGTTTAACTTGTTATTTCTTGTTTTGATATTGGACTTATACTGCAAAATTTTATATAAATTTTTTCAGACATTTCATATTTATTGAATTGATAAATATTGTCCTTTCTTTAAATTAAAAGTAATGATGCACCAGTCATTTTTGGTAAAGAGTTCAGCTGCATAAAAGCATAAAATACTAAGTCTTTACATCCCTTTTAAATTCAAATTTAACAAGAAACAAAACATTTAAAAAAAAAATCAAAATAGCCATGCTCAACTCAATTACTTGTAATTATTTTGTTTTCATGTATATGATTTTCTTTGTAAATAATGCTAATTGTTTGTCTTTATGTACTTGTCATATTTTGTAAATGTTAGTAATTGTCCCTTTTTGTGTCAGTACTATGCCATATCATGCATTTTGCTACAGACTTAATATTAAGTTTTTAGGAAACAGTTATATTTATCGGCACTAAGAAAAATACAATTCTCTATACTTTTCAAGACACATTTCCGTAGTAATCTTAATCATTAGCGATGCACCAACACTCTTATTATGACTACCATTGATTCATTTTTTATTCATTTCTCTATAAGTTTCATTTTTAATGTACCTGCACACGGTATTTTTGTGGAGAATGTGACAAATAAACATATATATCCTCAGTTCTGTCTCTGATACCTTACTTATTAAATGTTGTTAGATACCATCCCCCATGATATCGTTTATGCATTCAAATACGACAGTGTCACAGACAGAACCTGGAAGCAATGACAAATACACATTGGTTATCATCATCCTTTTTTACTCTGTATTTCTACTTCCTCAATGACTATCAATACTATTACTTTGTGCTGGAGATATTCATTCTAATACTGGTCCATTTGCTGAAAACAACTCTAGCACCGACTCATCTTTTGCATCTTCTACTTCTGAGCTTATAAATAGTGGGTTAAGTATTACGTGTTTAAATATTCAGAGTCTTAGACCTAAGCTTGATATACTTGAACTCGAAACACAGCCATATGATATTCTTATTTTTACTGAAACCTGGCTGCGTCCTGAAGTGCATAACAATGACATTGAAATATCAAACTTCCAATGCCCGGTTCGTTGCGACAGAACAGACAGAGTCGGTGGTGGAGTAGCGATCTATGTCAGAGAGGGCTTAAGATTTCATACAAGATCTGATTTATCTGTACGTAGCATCGAATGTGTATGGGTGGAACATGATATAAACAGTCGTAAACTTCTTCTAAGTGGTATTTATAGACCCCCAGACTCTAACAATCAGCATTGGCTTCTTCTTGAACAGTGTATAGATCAAGCATTTTCCGAGAGATCTGACAATATCCTGACTGCTGGCGATTTTAACATAAATCTTCTAAAATCTAATTCAAACAAATTGTCTAATCTTATAGCCTCTTGAAATGCAGAACAACTTATTACTACACCAACCCACTTTACAGAAAGCTCTTGCTCATTACTCGATGTAATGTTCGTAAAGAACACAAATCATATCTTAACAAGTTTTGTTGCAGACCCATTTATTCCAGATATTATTCGTTTTCATTGTCCAATCGTATCAGTAATGAAATTTTCGAAACCAAAGGGTACCACATACAAACGCAAAATATGGCTTTATGACAGGGGTGATTACTCTGGCTACAGAAATGAAATTAACTAAGCAGACTGACAATCCATAATAAACACTGACAATGATATAGATGAAACAGTCAACCGAATTACTAGTACCATATTAAATGCCGCAGACAACAATATTGCTAACAAAATAGTAACAATAAGACCACACGATATTCCATGGATGACCAACAAAATACATAAACTAATAAGAAAAC